ATCTTTAAGGCTCCTTCCAACCCAAACCATTCTGTGATTCTATGAGTAAAACCTCATTGATCCCAGAATCATTTCCTTCCCATGCCTTGTGCCAGAACACCTTGATAGCAAAGCTGGCAGGTGACTCAGAGTTATGGTCCCCACCATTGTCACCACCTTGGGGAGGTGCCCCTGAGGCTGAATACGAGGAAGGGAGACATTCAGATCAGATTCCTTGTGCAAGTGATATCCAGAGGGCACTGGAGAGAGCTGATGCTGGAATTACACTGCGCTGAACCAGGAAAACCTCCAGGATGGGGACTGGTGAGGGGAACAGCTTAATAGGATGCAGGCAGCTGAACCTGTGAAGTGTCAGAAAGTGGGAAACTGGGAATAATAAAGGCAAATTGAATCCTCTCCAGGTTGCTGGAAATAGTCCTTCTCAGCTGACATCTGGGATTGCTTTGGGAAGCTGAGCTGCAGAAGAGTTCCCAGCTTTTCCCTGAGAGATGAAGGCCATCTCTGAGCTTTGCCCTGCCCTCCCCCCTGCCAGGTTTTTGTGGGGCACTTGAGGGATATTATTTACACTGGGGATGTCACAGGCCTGAGGCAAATGATCACCTCAGTGGAGGAGCTGGATGGAGGGAAGGACTGAGGTGCAGGAAGGGGCCATCACTTCCTGTGGACAGTGAAAGCAGGAAAGCTTTGAAAATCCCTTTTTTGTTTGAAAATCCCTCTTTTCCGTAGCTTGAGGGTGGGAGAATCCAGCATGAACAGAGAGAAACACCAGGGATCTTGGTGAAAATCTGTGGCACTTGGGGACGTGGTTCAGTGGCAGACTTGGCACCTGGGTACAAGGTTGGACTCAATGATCTTAGAGGGTTTTTCCAACCTTAATAGTGGGAAGGTGGATCCTGCCTGCCTTATAAATAACTTGTTACCCTTGAATATCCAGCTTAATCCATTTGGGAGCTGAACAGAGGCATTTCAGAGGCTGAAACTGGGAGTAGTGGTTTGTGCCTCCAGCGCAGTTGTGCTGCCTCTGTCACGCACATGTGACCACAAGCCAACAGGACCTGAGCCAAGGTCTCCCAGGCTCTCCAGAGTGTCCCAGTGAGCATCAAACTGATGCCCTGCCCAGTTGCAAGCACATCCATGTCAGAGGTTTTCCTCCTCGCTCCTACTCCTTCATTAAATCAACAGGGAAATTCTCCACCAAGCAGTAGCAAGGCCACACATGGGACCCCCCTGAAGGCAAACGGTTTGAGCTCACAGCTGACAACAGGGAGTTACCACAGCCTGGAGTCTGTTTGTTTGGCTGTGCTAAGTCATTGCAGCTCCATTTAGTGCTTGGAAGGGTGTTTTTGTGGGAATAGTTGGTGTTGTGTTGTTTCCCAGTCTTGGAACAGAAGGCAAGAGGAAAATCTGGCCCAGTATTTGTCACATACAAGGTTTAGCTACAGGGTCACAGTGTAGCTGCCCTGCTTTATGGATTCTCCCAGACATGCAATATACTGTTGTATCCCATTGGAAAATCAGTGACTGGGCTGGTTGGGATTGATCCTGGGCTGCAGAGACCTCAGCCTTGGCTCTGAGCTGCTGTGTAATTGCAGGCAGCTCATTTCACCTCTTCGAGCCTCAGTTTCCTCCCCACCTCTTCCTTTTCCTGTCTGGTCCCACAGCCATGGAAGCTGTTATTTCTACAGGGACACTCTCTCTGTTTATGGAATGTCTGGCAGAGGCACAGCCTAAAACTACTCCTGTGCAAATGTTAAGTACAACCACTTTGCCTGGAAGGAAGTTTTTAGTGAGATGTTTAATTTAGGTTTAAAAAAGGCCCCCCAAATCAAAAGGCTTCAGAACTTTTCTTTAGAGGTGTTTTTGGTTTTTACCCTAAATACACTGATAATTCAGAAAAGCTGGAAATACCGAAGCACTTCTTTGCACACAGAATTTTCTACCATCTGTTCCTGTAACTCACCCTGCTGGCCAGAGGGGTCTGATGGGTGATACCTGTGCAGATAAAACACTGCTGTGAGTGACTGAGCTGCTGCTGGGATGTGTTGGCAGAGTGATGGGAATCCTTTTGGGTAACAAGGACTTTTCCTCTGTCTCAGGGATTAGACAGACAGAGATGTCTTATTTCCATGGCTGGATGGGGTCAGTCTATCACTGTACATATGCTGGTCTCCTATAGATACCCAGACACTTCATAAGTGGCATCAGGCTGAAATCAAAACTGTCAGAGCTTCATTTGACTCCTTCCCCTGTTTAAAATCCACTTTCTTGCTTCCTTTCCATGCTCTCTATTGGTCTAAGACTTGCAGAAAGGTGTTTGCTTTCCACAGGCCTTGTATTGGTTTGCAAATCCCATAAAACCCACCAGTTCATTCTTCAGGGTGACAGAGCCCTTTGGAGCAGGGCAGGAGTTGCACCAGCTCTGGGCATGGAAACCCAGCTGTGTTTTCCTTTCTGCTGGGTGAAATGGAGGGCACAGCCCGACTGGGAGAAAAGAAACGGTGGGAAGTGCTAGGGGAGGATCAGAGAAGGTTGGTAAGAATGCTGATGCCACATTCCCAACTCTTGAGATGGCAGTGAGGGGAAGAGCTTTGTCCCTGCTTTGTGGGGAGAGGGAGGCTGGTGCAACACCAGCTGTGAGTCTAGGAGGGTGTGTGACACAGGGAGGATGCAGGGACAGTGTTGTCATCCTCTCTGCCTTGTCTCTTTGCTGTGAGACTGGGCAATTATGAAAGATGATATTTTCAGCAGTCCCATGTCCCCTTCCCACCTCCAAAGGCACCTGGCTCTACGTGTGTGAATTTGGCTTTTCCAGAGCAGGGTTCCTGAAAAGCACCTGTGGGCCTTTGATCTCCAGTTTGCCTTGAGCTGAGGTGGCTCAGGTCAAGTTTCCTGTCCTTTGGGGGACGCCAGGAGGTTGATACATTAAACCTGTGTCAGGGCACTGCAAACCCCACCTGAGCTCCTCATCAGTCCCAGGGAATCTGAACTCTATGAAAGATTTACTCCTTGCAACAGCCATTCCGAAGGCAGGATCATGTAAGATAATAATCATAAGTGGTTTGGGGGCTTTGCTTCTCCACCTCAAATTGCCTGTGACTCCTCCAAAACCTGGTGTGATGATTGCTGCTCTAATGTAATGGCCAAGGAGGCAGAGCCTGGCTCCCACTGAGGACTTTCCTTTCAAGATCCACAGGATATGGTTCCTTTAATAGCATCCCTGAATTCATGAGCTTCTCCATCGCTTTCAAAATGCACAGCTGATGGCAACCCAAAGGCTGATGGAAAGGAATAACCTGTGTGGATCCCCCCTCTCCAAAAACAAATTTGAACAATCCAATAAATGTCTTTCTGTGTGGAAAGAAAGGAAAGGGAAGGGAAGGTTTGGGAAGGTTTGGGAAGGTTTGAGAAGGGAAGGGAAGGGAAGGGAAGGGAAGGGAAGGGAAGGGAAGGGAAGGGAAGGGAAGGGAAGGGAAGGGAGAAGGAAGGAAGATCAAGAAACTAGAAAGGAAAAAACAAGCAAGCAAGAAGGAAAACAAGAAAGAAGGAAGGAAAGAAGGAAGGAGGGAAAGAAGGAAGGAAAGAAAGAAGGAAAGAAGGCAGGCAGGCAGGGTACACTCTCTGAGACATGTGAGAGGGAAAGGGAGAAGTGGGGGTTGCTGATCAAAAAGATTAAATAACATTAAGGGGAAAAAAGGAAGAAGGAAAGCAGGAAGGGAGGAAGGAAAGAAGGAATTTTTTCACAACCCTTGTTGACATGAGCATGTTGATTCCAATACCTTTGTATAAATAACTGGGATCTATCCAGTCTCATGCTTCCTCTTCTCTTGTATTCCCTTCCTCTGGCTCCATTTGGCCACAGGAAGCAGCAATCACAGCCTGGGGCATTTTTATTTCTTTATTTTTTTTAATAAACTTTATTCTATATTACAAATAGTTTTTTTTTTCCTTTTTTTTTTTTGTTCTGGACTGCAAAATAGGAATGCCTTATATTTACATACACAGGTATACAATTAATTATAACAAAGGTACAGAAGCTTTGCCTTTACCAAGTAACAACGGGATTCCAATTTAAATAGTATAGATTTTATTTAATTTTTTTTCTTTAACTAGGATCAATTCAAAAGAAAATCAAACCAACAACAACAACAACCTAAGAAAAAGGATCCCAACCTCCTTTCTAATGCTGTCTTGACATCTCTTTGAGGCTGTTAGTAACACTGAAGTGAAAGGATATGTCTTTCCATTGATTTTGGATTTAAGGTGGAAGCTTAAGCAAAACAGAGGATGAGACTTCTGGGCTCATGTATGTCCAAGACACAGGGTCAGACACAAGGAAGGGCCTGTCTTGTGACTTTAAATAATCCAGTTGCCTCTCAAATCCTTGGGGAAAAACACTGGGAGCATTTAGCTAGCACCTAATCTCTCTGCTTCCTTACCCCACTCTGGGCTGGCAAGTGGAATTTCTCCAGGGAACGGAGAAAGAGCAACATAGAAATTTTAAATAACACTAAGTTTCTCTTAAGATACTTCAGAAAGGACTCCAAGCTTGGACATGTGCCTTGATTTCTCCAACTGGCTCTTGTGCCTCAGTCTATCCCACAGTGAACAGCAGCCTCTCCACTGGGAAATTCCCAGTCTGGGAAATGCCAGACCACACCAGCAAGAGAAGGGAATGCTGAAAGAGCCTGAATGTCCTGCTTTTCCCTCTGTTTTCCACACCCAGCTTTGCTTTACTGAGCTTCCCTGCGTGCTGCTCTCTGCTGTGAGCGTCTCTGAGGTGATCTGTTTCCAAGCAGAAAGAATTTCTTGAGGTAAACTCTCCATTTTTAGAACAGAAGATTTAAAAAAAAAAAAAAAGCCAAAACAGCCAAACAATGAACAAACAACGACGACAACAGAAATCACACACGTGACAGGTTGATTAGACTAAGCAGCTTTAAAACTTCAATGGGTTTTTGGTGGGTTTATTTTTCCAAGTGTAAATCCTTTTTTTTTTTGCCTTTTTTTTTTTTTTATTTTTGACATCTCTCTACAAATTAATTTTTTGCTGTAAGCCTGTGTCCCCTTGGGTGCTTCTCTAAGAGTGTAGTGAACTGAGCCATCCCAAATAAACATGGTTGACAAGCTCCATTTTCAAAGCATTCTCCTCAAAACAGTTATTCCCTGTAAGACAACACAATTGTGGGTTTTTTGGAGAAAGGGGCTTTGCACAGTGGCAGGGGTGAGGGAAAACTGCAGGAGTCTGTGGATCAAACAATACTTTTAAATGGGAGCTGCAAAGCAGGAAAAGTCAGCCTGGGAATGACCAGAAGTTTGAGGTTCACACCATGAGGTTGAGGTTCACGTGTTTCATCAGACCAAGACTGGATGGGAAGAGTTAGGACATCCTAAAACCTCCACCTGCCCTGGAGGACAGCTTACTACTCATCAGATGCACAGAGCAAATTGTCCTGGAATCACTAAGGCTCTGTGGGTGGTTTTATGTTGCCCAGAGAAGTTGTGGATGCTCCATCCTGGAAGTGTTCAAGGCCAGGTTGGATGGAGCTTGGAGCAACCTGGTCTAGTGGAAGGTGTCCCTGCCCATGGCAGAGGGTTGAAATTAGATGGTATTTAAAGTCCCTTCCAATCCAAACCATTCCATAATTCTATGCCAACACTTCTTTACCCAACAGCTGCCCTGGTGCCAACACAGGAACACAATCTGCTCTGGTCATAAATGATCATAACTCCCTGCTTTGGGGAAAGAGATCCATTCCTGGGCTCCCCTGCTCATCCCAGAAGGGGGGTGGTTCTCAGAATCTCAGAGGTTTAAACAACACTGATTTGAGAGTTGGATTTTTATATCCTTATCCTCATTCAAGAGTGAGGGATAAGGAAACTGGGCTCCTGGATGCAATTTTTGGTGAGCCACCCAAAACCTGCACGAACTGGTCCAACCACAATGAACATTTCCATGCAGTGCTCTCTGTCTGGCCTCTGCAGCTCAGTGCTGAAGCAGGGAGGAGAAAGGGACAAAACCCACCTTGGTGGGACTGCTGGGGTTCCAGTAAAGTGCTCATCTGGTCCCATCAGCAATGGTCACCACAGAAAGCAACAGATTCCTACGGAGGAGCAAACCTCTTACACACTGGAGCTACCTCGGGAATTCGGGAAGGAGGATCAGTTTTCCTCCTCTCCCTCATTCCTTCTACAGCATCAAGAAATGTGTCCACACTATCAGATGACTCTGCTTCACGGGTAATTCTTTTGCAGGCTGCTGGGAAGGGTGAAGCAGGACTTGTTTTACTGAAGCCCTGGTGATATGAGAGAATAGTCCTGGTCATCTCCAACAGGCCAGACTTTTCTTTTTGGTCTGAGATTGCCTTTGGACTTAAGGACTTCCATTCCTGGAAGTGTTCAAGACTAGGTTGGACAGAGTTTTGAGAAACCTGGTCTAGTGGAAGGTGTCCCTGCCCATGGCAGGGGAGTGGAACAAGATGAGTTTTAAGGCCCCTTCCAACCCAAGCCATTCTATGATTTTTAAGTGTCTCTTGTTCAAACACAAATGTATGTCCCACTAAGAAAAGCTCTTCACTAAAGCCTTGGGGAAGGACAGACCTACATTTCATGTTTTGACTTACTTCTAAACAACTTCCCTCTTGATATCAGCTGTTCTGTGCTCGGGTTGTTACCTCACGTGCACCCCAGACTTAGAAGGAACTTGTAATACTTATCTTGGCTGACTCAGCACTGAGGCTGACCACTGGACTCTTCAGATTTTATCTATCTTTTTTCAACAGCCTTATTAAAAATAATGACAATTATGTGATTTACTTGGTCTCTTTCCCTCCCTGTTAAACAGTTTCTGGGGGTTAACGCACGAGATTTACAAACTTTGGTAATTGCTTTTCAATCAAAGCACATACCAAACAAAACTGTGCTGGTAAATCTTCATAACTTAATAATTTTTATGGTCTTCAGTGTCAAAGAGGTGAGATAAGACAACTGCAGTGGGAAAAGGAAGTCCTCTTATCTACTGGAGCAAGGCTGGTCTATGCTGGATTGGACTGAACCTTCAGATATGTCCAGGATGGAATGAAGAGTGGGAAGAGAAGGACTGAGGAAAGTTTTAGCATTTGGACTCCGTGACCTTAGAGGTCTTTTCCAACCTAAATGATCTTAGGGGTCTTTTTCAACCTAAATGATTCTGTGATTCTGTGTTGGGAGAGGAAGGTGACCTTGGGTGGCTGCATTTCTCCTTCTCCATCATTCTTGAGTGCTGTCTGTTCCAGAGAAAACAATCTCTAACACCTCTTTCCAGACACACCCAGCTTTTCCCACACTGTTTCCTGGTGTTTCCTGGAAGGCTCAGTCTGCAAAAGCACGTGGCATGATGGATATGTCTCAGATCACTGTGGCACTGACAGGGAGGACACGATGTGACTGCAGAGGGACTGTTCACCTTTTCTTCCTCTAAACCAGGCACAAAGCCCCAAATCAAACCCTGCAGTGAAGCAATAATCTTGGCTCTCTCAGTAGAACCTCAGAGAATCTCCATGAACTTCCTTTTCCCATTTCTGATGGTGCTGAAAGTGTCAGCATGAATTATTTGACTGCAGCGTTCGAGAAACACCCATGAAGATCAGCCTGTCATATTCTGGATATTCAGAGCCTGTCCATTGACTTCTAGGAATTTTGGCTCCAGTTCTCTCCATGTGGCTTGAAAAACAGGGTGGAATAATACCAATTTATCAGGGAATTTTTGGTCAAGTGTGGAAAGGGAGGTGGGGGAAAAGAAATCAAAGGAAAAGAACTCATCCGTGTTGTAGTAGGGCTCATTCTTCTGCTTGTGTCTTTGTTTTTAGTTGTATTTTACATGCACTTAAAAAATAGTTAAGCTCAACAGGTGAGGCTGGGAAGAAAGATGCCAAGACCTCTCATAGATTGGGGGATGCTGGGACAGTGGTTGGAAATGGGAAGGGCACTGAAGGGGACAGGGGAGGAAGCCCACGCATTTACATCACAATTCTGGCACATTTTCCAAGCAAAAAGCCAAAACCAGCTCAAACACCAAATAAAGAGAAACAGAAACAAGGAAAAAATAATAAGGAGGAGATGAAAGAGAAGCAAAATGCAGATTTTCTTTCAAATCCTGGGCATGGGGGAAAGAAGAGGGTGGAGAGAAAGCAGAAATGCCTAAATGGGAACTTGGGAAGGGTTAAGGCACCAATCTCGTGGTGCTTCCCATTCCCTTTAAGTGTTTTCATTCTCAGTGTCTCTGAGGTGTTCAAGTTTTTCTCAAAAAATATATATATAATATACAGATGAAAAACTCCGTACCAGCAAGAAGAAACAAAATAACAACAATGGCAAACAAAACAACCATAGTAAACCAAAACCACAGCCCTGAAAACAGCGAAAAGAACATGGGTGAGTCTCAGATTTCCCCTGTGGTGTTCCCCTGACTCCAGGAGGATCACAGATTTCCCCTGTGGTGTTCCTCCGACTCCAGGAGGATCACACCAGTTCATTTTGATACCTTTTTTTTTTTTTTAAATGTTAAACAGCTTCTTCTTCCTTCCATGTGCACATGTCCAGGCAGGATTGCCCATCACCCATCACCACTCCCCTCCAAGCCAGCTACTTGTCCTTAGACTCCTACCATCCAGCTGTGAGAACAAGGCATGACAATAGGGTCCATATTTATCTTTTTGTGGCACTTTGTTTGTCAAAACCTTTGGTTTCTTCTCCTTTTTTTTTTTTTAAATTTTTAATTTTTTCTTTTTTTTTCTTTTTTTTTTTTTTTTAACGTACTTATAAAAAAATATCGTGTTTGTGTCGTTGTTGTTGTCACTTCCTTACCACTGGCTCTGGTGGGAATTCCAAGCCCACTTTCACAGCCATAATCAATGGATCTGGAACATGCGCCGACGTCACCAAATGGAGCAAAAAAACCGTGGCAGAACCAAGCAAACCCAAACCATCCCCTGTGCACAGGCCTCTTAAAGATGCTGAGATGTCCATAAGGTGCATGATGAGTCCATCAGCTCAGCAATCCAACAGAAAGCAAGCAAAATTAAAAGGGGAGGAACACACACACGCACACACAGATACACACACACACACACACACACACACACACACAAAATAAGAATAATCAGAATCAAGAGAGAAATGTCTGGGGTTTTAAAACCAAGACGTGTCCCTAAGTTTGCTGTTTCAATGTGAATTTTGTGATGTTCTCCCCACAGACACATCCAGTTTGGGACTGCTGTCGGAAATGGTTTTTGGAAACACTTGCCTATGTGTGTATCTGCTTGGCTGAGGGAAACCTGCTCACTGACTGACCCCTGTTTGCACCCCACCACCCCCCCATTTTTCCATGCACTCGTGGTCTGTCACTCTGAGGAGGTTCTGGTTGGACAGCAAAAGGCATCAATAAACCCAAATGCACTCGTTCTCCAATGAATTTACACACCCTGTCTTCACCCCTTCCTCCCTCCAGGTGCAAAGTAGATGCAGGCTGGAGCTCTGAGGATGATGAGTGGAATGTGGGTTGATTCTCCAGCCACTCCTCCATCTGTGAGTGAGCTCTGTTGGTTGCTGGGGAGGTGGATGCAGACCCAGCTCTTGCCTCCACAGTGTACAAGGTTCTCTACACCCCGAGGGTCTCTAACCACGGTGTTATCCAGGCTGTGTGAACAGAACAGCCAAAGGCAGGGGAGATGAAGGAGTTCATTCCTCTTTGGTTGGCCATGAAACAGGTTGAGATGTTGTTCTGGAGGAGCTGAGCAGAGGATGGGACAGGGTGATCACCTACAACTGTCCCGTGGTAACAGTGATCTCTGAAGGGATAAGAAGTGCAAAGAGAGATAAAATCCTTCAGCAAGGCCTGTTGGTTCCAGAGGTGGACAGGAGGAAAGGCTAGGAACGGGCACCAAAAGGCAGATAGGCTTAACAGAAGACCTGGAGTTCAGCTGCAGGTAGAAGAATTTTTTTGCACTGTTTCATTCGGATTTCCTCCAAGATTTCTTCCAAAACGTGTGGTGACATTTCCTCTTAGGAGTGGCTTGGAAGGAAAGTTTTACCATCAGTCCTGTGCACCACCTTGGTTCCTGGCAAACCCTCCAGTGTCCTTCTGATATTCCACCATGAAAAACAACACCTTTGTTCCAGTTGAGGAAAAAAAATGGAAGGAATTAACAGCTTTTAAAAAAAAAAAATCCCTCTGTTTGGTTTGTTGTTTTTTAATTTGCGGGGGTTTTTTTGTTGAGGATGGAACAAAATGAGACCTGTGGCTCTTGCTTTCCAAGCTGAGGTGGGAACAAGGGAGATGCTGTGCTGTCCATTGCCAGAAGGAGCAGAACCACTACTGACAGGAGGCCACTGAGCAGAGAGAGCATTTTTGCCGCAGTGCTATGACCAACAGGACACGACGGGAAAGACGGAGGAGGACACGTGTCTCTTGGAAAAATAAGAATAACCATATGAAACACATGGGCAGGGGAGGGTTGGTCTCCTCCTCCCCTCTTGACCCTTTCCCTGCCCCAAGGGAGCAGCTACACCAGGCAGGTCAGAGCCACAGTGGTCCCACTCTGGCGTTTTCCAGGGAGCCTCGGGGTTCCTCTCCCGGTGGGTCACTCTCAGGAGATAGAGCTGCGATGGCTCTGCAGGAGAGGAGCTGGATTTGCTCTGCCCTCCAGGATCCCTGCAGGCAGCTGCCTTCCCCTCGGGGAGACTTTGAGTAATACTGAGTTCATTTCCATGTCCACTCCAGGGGCTACGAGCCCTTGGAGGGCAGTTAAAGCAGCATGACAGAAGTTACCTCCCAATTTCGCCTCTGCAGAGTGATGATGAGATGTTGGGGGACGGTTTGTGGGGGTTTTTTTATGTGTGTTTAGTAGTTTTTCTCTAGGGTGAAGGGAGAGGGGAAGCTGTGAAAAGGAGAGCTCCACCTGAATGTCCTCATGGCCCCAGAGCCAAGATTCCTCTGCAGTCTTTTCCTTTAACCCCTGGGGCTCTGTCACTTCATCCATAGATTTGGAAAGAGAGAGAAATGAGGGAGAGAAAGAGACAGAATGAGAGAGAGAGAGAGGAGCTGTGTGGGTGACTCTGCTTACAGCCCATCAAAACTTGCACTTGGTAAAGATGATGATCTTGAGTGAGGCACGACTTGGTTTATCCCTCCCAGGGTGGCCCTGGCAGGACAGTTCTCAGCTGTCTATGCTCATGAGGGTTATGACTTGTTCAAGTTTGTAGGCAAGTTTCTGTTTCCCAGCCTGGTCGTCTTGATCGAGGGCTCCGAGAATCTGGAAAAGGAGAGAGGAAAAAGTGATAGGGTTTATTTTTTTTCCCCCAAACAACTGAGTCCAGCATCTTATAGCAGCAGATGAGGATTAGCTTTCTCTAAGGTAAGTCCCAGGCTTAGCTTAGATCAGGCAAAGTGGGTCAGTCAGCCAGCAGGGAACTAGGCAGGCAGTTTGGGATTGTCTCACTAAATACAGATCTTTAGATTTCAACCAGGCAAACAGATTCTTATCTTGGAGATCAGTTATTTAATAGCTTTATTCATCACCTGGCCATGCCACTTGAGATGCCCTAAGGAGTCTCAACTTGTCTTCAATATCTAGAACCACGCTGGACACCTTAAAGTCTGTGTCATGCCTGCTGGACCATTTTTGGGTGCTTTAGGGTATCTGGAATGGCATTGGTCACGTGTTCTTAACTTTTGGCCACATGTTCTTAAACAACTTTTGGCCACATGAGATGCAGAGCTCATGCAGGGCTCCTCTGCACCAAGCAGACCACCATCTACTGCAAGCCAGCTAAATCTGATTGATCAGTAGCAGGAAACAAAAACAACAAGAATCCAGAGAGAAGAGTGCTGTGGAGACTAAAAATCCCAGACCTTCCCTTTTACAGGCCCCAAGCCTTGCTTCTCATCCCATAAACCCATCACCCCCCTAGCCAGCATGAAAATAGGCAACTGTGACACGTGGGTGGGCTGTGCCATGGTCCCTCAGAACCTCTCCAAGGCTCTCACCTCCTCGCTGTACTTGCCCACGTAGGAGTAGATCTCTGAGAGCGCACTCATGGTGTTGAACTCGTTCATGTGCATGCGGGACTGCTCGGCCAGGTAGGCATTCATGTCCTGGTCACTGATGGCTGGCATTTTGGCAATGTCTGAGTAGTACCTGGGAGAGAGAAATACAGGGGTTGCTTGAGGGGAGACAGAATTTCAACTCGTCAAGAGATGAAATTCGCCAACAATAGAGAGAAAAAACACGTTCGGCAGTTTGGGCTCTGCTGGTGCATCAGTGAAATACCTGGTCATGCCTTTTACAGCAAGGGAGATGATTTAGGGAAATCAAACACTGTTGAAGCATTGATCCTGAGCACCAGGCAGGTGTTGTATTCACTCCACCCCAAGCTGAGATTGAAGTCCCAAAGAGCATCCTGGGGACGTTCTCCACGCCATCAGAGAAGCAGGAGGAAGGGAATGCTGGATTCCTCCATCTGGCCTTCAAGGGCTTTGAGCCCTGCCTCTAGTCCCACAGAGAAGCCTCACTGAGGGCTCAGGGTTTCACTCCCATAAACAAAAAGAAACCAAAAAAAGCCAAAACAAAACGAAAAAAAACCAACAAAAAAACCCCCAAACAACAAAAACAAAAAAAACAAACCTTGATTCTTGCTTGTGCCATTCACACAAGTACATCTACCCACACTGCTGACATCACCCATCTCCACCACTAAATCCAGTCTATCCCAGCAACTCTTCTGCTGCTCAGCATCCCCATTTTGCCCCACATTTTAAGGTGATGTTTCTGGCAACAGCCTTCAACCCTCACATCCCCACTGTGACTAGGGGAAATCTGCTTTCCTTAGCAATCAACATGATTCCACCTCTGCTCCAGAGGTCTGGGGTTTTATCCACAGGGTTTGGATCCCCCAGAACTGTTGCCCAACAGGCCTCATGTGCAGAGTGATGTCTCTTTAAGGAAGTTGCTATTTTTGATGTCCTTCCTCTCCAGGGTAAGGCAGGTCTTGGAGGACAAGGTTTGCAGAAGGTAATCAGTCACTGTCATTTGCAGCTGTGCTCCGCTGTCAACTGGTTAATTAGACTCCATCATTTACATTTTTAATTTCTGCAATTTGACATTTTGTGCACAAGGAAAAAAAAAAGAAAGAAAGAAAAAAAAAAAGCTGCATCAATCCACGATTTTATAATTAGGAGGCAGAGGGGACAGGGAGCCAAAAGAGCTGACAGGTGTCCTGTAAACAGCACTGAGACACCTGCTGAGATGGAGCCTGTTTTCCACTGCAGAGAAATTGGACATTGAAGTGCTGTATGCTAAGATTCTTCATGCAGATGAGAGGGAAAATACTCTATGACAGAGTGGGGTGAGCAGCTGCTGGAGCCTCCTGTGAAAGGCAGCACAGAGCAAGAGCATGGGGGGAAACCCCTCCACACCCAGCTTTGCAAAGTCTGGGTTTGTGCCCTGCAGTCCCATCCTGGTTTGCTGAAACTGGTCTCAGTTGCTGTCCTGGTTTTGGTGGTGGGATGCTGGGACATGAAGGCACAGGAGGCAGAATTTCTTCTCCCTGCTCTGTGCAAAGTCCTCTTACCTGACTCCTTCCAGAACCAGACTCTGGTTCATCATAAAAGCTCATGCAAACCTCATTAATTTTACTGCAACTTCCAGCAGGCACAAAAGCATTACTCTCCCTGGAGTTCTGGCATCTTGTCTGCTGGGCTCAGGAGCAGCCAAAAATGCCAGTGTAACTCAGTCCCATGGTCTAAATATTGCTCACTCCCAGTACTCTGGGTCTGGGCTTGGTTTCACTTTACACTCTGCCTAACCCTCCATCCCCAGGCACACCTGAAGAGCTGCCTGTGAGTAAAGGAGGCATTTAGAGATGCCAAGAGGACCTTCCCTGCAGAACTACCTCCAGGAGGAGATGGTGAGCAGGATGAATGAATATTTCTAGACCTTTACTACTTCCAGAAAAACTCAAACAAGTCTCAGCATCAGCTGCTGGCCAAAATCAGATCTGTGCTACGTGGACAAGAGCGTCAGGAACTGGTGGCATCTGTGACATTGCTGAGAAAACAAGGAATCCTATGGCCAAAAAGCAAGGTGTGCCTGGGCATCCAAAAAACCCCTACAAACACGGGCAACCAGCACAGTTGACAGACTTGTGGGGAAAACAGGCTGCAATGCAGTGAAATGCGTTGATTTATGGTGTCTTAGAAGAGCCCATGGAGAAGAGTCCATGGAGAAGAGCCCAGCTCCTTGTGAATATTGACTGGCACCCTCTGGTGAGTGAAATGAGAAGGGAAGGGGCTTAAATCACAGCAAAAATAAACGAGGCAGGTGGAGGAAAGCAGAGGTGCCAGTCTGGCTCTGACAACCAGTCGAAATGTTCCCTTCCCTCTCTTGTTCAGCTGTCATCAAATGGTGGCAGGGTGGTGGGTGTAGGGACAGGCTGCTCCCAAAAAGCAGAGAACAGACACTTATCATCTGCTTCTCCAAGTTTGTCCTGTTTCCCTTCCACCTGGTAGCAGCAGCCTCTTGAGTCTGTGACTCACGAGGATCTGAAAGCTCCCTATCCCTTTCCAGCCCTTCAGAGATCATTTTCCAGCATCACAACACTCCCATGACTCATCTGAGCAAGGAAAAGCAGCAGGAAATGCTCCCTGGAGCCAGGGATGGGATGCACAGATCTGAGTTTTGAGAATCAGAGTTTCAGGGCCTGGAGGCCTCCGTGGCCATGACAGACTCTCCAGCTGTGATCTCAATGTTCTGGGTTCACAGGCCATTACCCACCATCAGACCAAAGTGTCCTGGTCTCCAGACTCAATTCCCTGGCATCACACACCTGAGCAGTCATTTCCCATTAAGGCTGCATGCTAAGATATTGTGGGAATGTGTTTCGTGGCAAAAATAAAAGAAGAAGAAGGGAGGAAAAAAGCATTGTATCAATAACCAAACCTATCTGTGGGAGAAGACATAACATCCTTCCACCCGAATTCTGCAGTGGCCCAATGACTTATTTACACAGAAGAGTTTCTAATGAAGCCATCATTGCACTCTCTAAAGAAATGATGGATGTGTATATTAAAGCAGCCTAGCAGGGGGATGACAACATCCCTGCTGAGTCTTTATTTACCTTCTATTTGAGCCGGGATCCTCAGAGGTACTTAGGGCCTCTCTGCCATTTGCATCCCCCTAATGCAAAAGCTGTCACCAAACCCCAGAGGTCCTCGCACTTCCACTGCTGGAATTTGCAGTCTGTGTGCTGCTTCCCCCCGACCCTGCAGCTGACAGCTCTCCCTCACACCAGAGCAGAGCTGTAAGGTAATTCCAGGGGGAATGGGATGCTCTGTCACCTGTGAGCAACACCAAGCTGAGGGCTCAGATCTCACCTGAGATGTGGACAGGTCGTTGGCTCACACTTCCAAAGCCAGCAGGAGGCTGGGAACACAAGACTAAACCAGATTCCCTCTGAATGAGACAGAAAGGTGGCAATGCAGCAAATTCAGCTTAACCTGCACCCAAAGGGTCAGAGTGAGAGTCTGAAGTAGAAGACAGTGACTACTTGGTCAGATGTGCCTCACTTGCTGCTGCTCCCGTTCTCCAGTTTTGGTTATCTCCAGTGGATCCTTTCCCAGGTGTTTCCAGAAGATCCTTAGCCACAAATCAAAAGATCCAGCCTAATGTGTTCGAGTTTCCTCTGAGTCCCAGGAACAGCCTCCATTCTTACCTCAAGGCTGTTTATCCTCTGATATGACAGGAAATTTGTTCATTAGATTTCAGAAGCAATAAAAGTCATGAGGAGCTGGGGTAAATTCATCATTCCAGCACATCATCAGCTCAGATGGAGGGTGTGAGGGTAACCAGGCCTTGGGATGTGACCTCACAGGTATCATTTTAGCACAGCAACTCAACCCCAGCCTGGCTTGGAGTGGAGAGCCCATGAGACCATCCAGTGCCACTGAAATATGGAGAAGGATTTGGGATGCACCAGTATAGAGTTCTAAAGAATAATTGTTCTTTTTTGTTCCACAACCTCCTCTTTCCTTGAGTTGCCTTTGTTTTCTTTTGTTTTGCTTTGTTTTCCCAAGGAAAGCAACACGACAGCGACCTGGGAATACATCACAATGACCTGGGAATACATGTTTATCCAGAGGTAAATGCTCTTTCCTTCACTACCAACCTGGAAAGGCTCCTTAGGGGAGCTGTTTCACCAGAATAACTGTGCCTGCTGCCACTCAGTAACTCATTAACTCAACAAAAGAGAAGAGAAAAGCCATGTTGCCAGTGCTTCCTCTCCAGCCTGAAATTTTCCAGCCCAGCCCATGGTTTAGGCAGCTTAGCATGGAGCTAATTGCCTTCCAAAAGATCTTTTTGTCGTGGTTGTTGTTTGTCGCTGGGTTGGGACTGCGCTCATTAATAATCATTTTAGCATATGAAAAGCTTGTAACGAATCCATGAGCTGCAGACGGCAGAGCAATTACAGCAATCACATAATTAGGGTTATGCAATAGCCGGCTGTACCCAGACCACTGGAGGAGGAAAAGATGCTTGAAAGGGATATGGGGGACTGCTAAAGCAGGGAAGGGCTGATGGAAAGCTTGGGAACAACCTAGTGGCCAGCTTTTTTATGGGATGAAGTGAGGCAATGCAAGGACACGCTGTCAGTTCTCATTTTGACACAGAACGGCGGGTTTAGCTTCCTGGGAAGCATCTGAGCTGCTGGATGAGGCCCTGGCACAGACTGCCCAGGGAAATTGTGGATGCCCCATCCCTGGAAGTGTTCAAGGCCAGCTTGTACAGGGCTTGGAGCAACCTGGTCTAGTGGAAGGTGTCCCTGCCCACGGCAGGGGGCTGGAATGAGACGATCTTTAAGATCTCTTCCCACCCAAACCATTCCAGGATTCAGCCACAGTCAGTCACAGGACTGTTAGCCCAGACTGACCCTATTCCAGGGAGAGGTTTAAGGCCAGGCTGTTGGACACTGGTTGGACTTTGGCAGTACCAGCATGACATCTGAGCAAAAAGCATCCAAAATTAGCTGAAGACCTGTCAGTACTTCCAGAGATTTGCCTTGAAGTGCTTTAGGGAATTTAGGGAACGATTCTATCTGTGTATGCAAACCCTAGGTAGGGCAATGATTTTATTTTGCCTGTGCA